GGGTTGGCTGGCATGTACTCTACTGAGTCATCATCCCACTGAACGTTCTTGTTGGCTTTGCCTGACAAAAACCAAGAGACCACAGGTGTGATGGTGAGGCTCAGTGGTCCTTCATGGGTCAGGGAATTTCTCTGATACTCTTTGTTGGGGATCTTTTGAGGGCCACGGTAGTCATATTGGGCTCTGAAACTTGATTCAACTTTATAAACATGTCTTTGACCCTGACACGGTCCTGGTGCCACAGGAGTGGGGGACACTGAGGCGCTTAAGCCACTGTTTCCACCCTCAAGGGGCTTCAACAAGCTGCTGGGGACACATGTACACATATTAAAGTGATGTAAGAAGGAGTCTCTGAACCACAGAAGGAGCAGTAAAGCAGTTGCCTTCAAGCTGACTCCAACTCACAGAGACCCTGTGTGGGCCAGAGTGGAACTGAGCCCCACAGGGCCCTCAATGGCTGGTTTTTTTGGAAGTCGATTACCAGGTCTTTCTTCTCAGGTGCCTCTGAATAGACTCGAACCACCAACTTTTTGGTTACCAATCAAGCACATTAACCTTCTGCATCAGCAAGGTAAGGGGCTGTTATTTCCAAGTTGGGAAAGGCAAGGTACATGTGTTGTTTTGGCCTGCCCAGATGCCCAGACTCCATTCTCCCTTCTCTTCATAACAGCATTCAATATTTTGGACGGCACCACCTCCTCCTCCCTTTTCAGTCATCATGGATGGGGAAGATCTGACTTCATCACCAATTCCAAGGGTGGTCCTATCACTTAGGCCAGTCAGAACACTGCATCTGACAGGCTACCGTTGTTTGTTCAGAGATGAATATTTAACCCAAACAAGTGAATTAGCCAATAAGACACAATTCCAGACTTTTGTTAGAACTACTGGGTAAGAGGGTGTCTCTCTGCTGTACATGAAACTGGAAGATTCTAAGAGCCTTCTTGTCCCCACATGGAGAGAGGCTGCCTAAGAGGAAAGCTGACACTACAGAAGGCAGTGCTGAGCGTTCAGGCTCCAAGAGCCCCTGCTGTCGCTGAACCACCAATGCCCCAATTCCAACTAAAAATCTACTGGCTTTGCATAGCCTGATTTCCTTTGGGTCTGACTTCTTATGGGTTCTCCATTATGGGTTCTAGGGAGAGGGAACCTTGAATAGTGGCATGGTTGTTAAATGCTTGG